GCGTGGGGGTACGTGCGTGCGTGGGGGTACGTGCGTGCGTGGGGTGCATGCGTGAAGATGCTTGCATGGAGGTGCGTGCGTAGGGGTGCGTGGGTGGGAGTGCGTGGGTGGGTGGGCTTCTTGGAGGGTGCGTGCGTGCGTGGGGGTGTGTCCGTGCGTGCGTAGAGGTACGTGCATACGTGGGGGTGCGTGCGTGCGTAGGGGTGCGTGGAGAGTGCGTCCGTGCGTGGGAGTGCGTGGGTGGGTGGGGTGCGTGGGTGGGTGGGGGCGCGTGCGTGCGTGGGGGCGCGTGCGTGCGTGGGGGCGCGTGCAGTACTTACTGTTTGTTATGTCCTTAAAACCTGAGCTTATTAACACCTTTACGGTGATTATGCCAAGTCTAAATATTCAAAATAAGCTCAGTTTCTACAATTGATTTGGTAGGAATCCAATCCCAGTACGTCTACAGTGGATTCGGAGGGGACCAGGCCTTCTGCAATGGTGAGTAGCATCCCCCAAAGCTAAAAATTCCAGTCTCGGCAACAAGAGCAAAACTTTGTCTGGGAAGGAAAAAAAAAAAAAAAGGAAAGAAAACACCGAATGCATGATAGTGCTCCCGTGACTGGTTATTAGGGTGATAGTCACTAGTCCATGGATGTGTCTTATTTCAGGGGAACGTGTGGGCGATCTTGATGTTAACGGACTTGAAATAAGAACCAGATGCGAGATACAGTTTCAGTATAGTAACTCCAAAGTATTATGGGCCCCGAGCAAGGAGGGTTGCACTCCCGAGTTGGGTGAGGATTTCTCGGAGGTTGGTAGATTAAGAGACCAAAATTTGGTAAGGGATGTCCATGTTGACAAGGAATTTTTTGACTGAATGCGCTATGTCGGATGAACGAACGTATGAGCCGTGTAACATTAAAAACAGCTAGTACGGGTCAATATCCGTGTTGAGTAAGGTTCGTGCTGTGGGGTTGACATTGGTGGACGCGCGATAGTTGATCAAGAAATACTAATCCATGCTTACATTTATGTGGGCTAGGTTTGCAATGTACATTTATATATAAATGTACTATGTATGAATAAGCAATTGTAGTACTATATATTGTTCATGGGGGCTAGTAATAATGCACGAAGTACGTAATAGCACTAATATATTAGTGCTACTTAGTTAACACTGAAATAGCAGTTAAAGTATGCACCGAGAAGAAATTCAGGAAGTTGTTTAATTAGAATTTCAGCTTTGGGTATTGACAGTGAAGCGGGAATGCTTTTTCCCTGAATCGTCTGGGGGAGAGGTTTCTCCTTTTTTGGTTTACAAGACCACAGTCTTGAATAATACAAGGGCATTTTCATTTACGTAGTTTATTTTCAATTAGGAAGGTGAGTGGTATAAGGGTGAAGGTGGTGGAGAAGTACATAACAGATGGGGTATGTACGATGGCAGTAAAAAGGTGTTTGACTGGCTGTCACCCAATTCTTGTGAGCATAAGCAGGTCTGCTACTAAGATTCAAAATGGTCAGAATATACTATGTTGTTTAGACATGTGAAGTACAGGAATGACTGCTAGAATAAGGATGGAGAATAAGAGGGCTAGTACGCCTCCTACTTTGTTAGGCAGTGTAAGATTGCATATGAAAATGTAAATTACTACTCTGGCTTAATGTGGGGTGGGGTGTTGGGATTGGATATATAATTATCTGGATCGTTCAGGAGGTCGGGTGGAAATAGTACAAGAGTTGTTAGAAGGAGGAGGAGAAAAATTAAACTTAGAGTGTCTTTGGTTGTATAGTAGGGGTGGAAAGTGATTTTGTCCGGGTCTTTGATGAAATCCCTGAAGGGCTGTTAGAGCTTGTCTCGTGTAAAAATAAAAGGTGACTTCTATTAGCCTAATCTTTCATACATTTCTATCTTCATATCTTTTCTTCATCAAGTTTGGCAATTACTATTTGGATTTCCTTTCCCTGTCCCTTATTGCAGAAGCTGTCTATAAGTATTAGAAAGCTGAAGCAATGATAGCATTAACCTAATTTTCCCTCTCTCAGAGGTCATATTTCTGCACTTTTGTCCCTTGTCTAAAAATATTGTTTTATGTATATGCCTATTTTCTACTTGTGTAGAAAGAGTATTATTTGTCATTGATAAAAAATTATATTTTGATACAGTTTATATGAATATGCTTGTTACCATATCATTGAATTACATTACGTGAGTGTTACAAAGTTCTGAGTGTAAATATTTATTTTGTGTATTAAGAAACAACTTGGTGTTCTAAAAGAGTCAGCATTTCCTAGAGAGTAAAACATTCTATGATTAGAATAGATAAACCTGAGTCATCTTTTTATAGGTAAAGAGCAAGAATGGTTTTTAAGTTATCCAAAAATAATTTTTATGATAGTTTACCTTGAAGATATTACTACTATTATTTACATTATTTTAATAGCTACAAAAATGATTAGTTTTAACTGCCAAGAGTTGAAATAGCAGTTTCTCATGAAAAGTGATCAAAATATGGAAAATAATTTATTTAGATAAGTAATATGGAATGCTTTGTGTTGTTCAAAGTAAACATGTTTTCATTACTGGGGATTTTTTAGTAATTGTTTTTATGATGATGGGCATTATTATTACCTTATATGCTTTTAATGTTTTTAAAAGACTGAAAAGATAAGAACAATTAATTTGATCTTGAGAGGAGAAAGTGGACTTCAACAATTGCCCTTAAGTGACCTTGAATTCTGTGTCTGTAGGGACAATGCATCTGAGAAATTAATCCTTGATTCATGTAGCTTATTGGATTAACTCAGAATGTGTTGGAGTTGTTAGACAGTTTTTTTGCAATTTTTGACTTAGCAAGAACCTTCTAGCTAGAGCTTCTATAACAATTAAAGGAACCTTAAGATGGATGAGTGAGCTTCTTGAAGAACCTGAATGTAACTCAACCTTCATTAGGTGATGTGTTTGGCTGTTGTCTATTTTGAGCTGAAACATTATATATGGGGGTCTGTGATTGAAGCATTATATATCTTGACACAGAAGTTTCTATAAACAAAGTATCATTCTTTTTATATATTATAAGAACTTTTATCATTTGCCTGTCCTGTTACTGTATTTTCTTCAATCACATCTCTCATGATACTGTCTCATAGAGGCTAAATATAAATTCATTATTTAAACTGCCTCCTCTAGTGAGAAAAGTGTATTGACATAAACGAAAGGTTTAAATGAAACATATCATATATCCTATCCTATTATAATATACAGAAATAAACCATTAAAGCATTGATTTTAATTTTATATAATTCTGACTTAGTAGTGTTTAGGATCAAATATCATTTTTTAAACAAATATCTTTTCTTCTACAGTGCAGTTTAGTATGAAGCACAAAAGTCAACACTTTATATGACCAAAATTGTAATTATTGATACAGTGTTTGAATAGCACAAAGAATGGCAAATTACAAAAGTAATTTCTTAGTCAGAAACGAGAAATAACATCTGGATGATTTTACCTCTAGAGAGATAGATTAAAAGTTTCTTCATGATTTATATAAATTGCATGATTAGTTAAGTCATTTCTCCCAAACTAACTTTGATTTTACAGTATTTGCAAGAAGAACTGGAATTCAAATAACATCATAGTTTTATATGAATATGGGTACACATCTGCTGACATTATCTATAAATGATGTTTTAGTACACCTGGGTAGGATAAAGTAATTTTTACAAGTGAATTGTATTCCTCCAAAATTCATGTCAAAGCCAGTACTTTGAATTGTGACTGTATGTAAAAATAAGACCTTTAAAGAGGAAATTAAATTAAAGCAAGGTATTAAAATAGATATTGATTCAATCTGACTGGGTCAAGAAAAATAAATTAGGGTACACAGGGAGACACTGTTTACTCATACAGAAAAAAAGGTCACATAAGGACATAGTGAGAAGGTAGACATCTACAAGACTAAGAAAGATGCCTCAGAAGAAATCAAACCCACAGATACCTGAATCTTAACTTCTTAGCCTTCAAAACTGTGAGAAAAATAGATTATTTAAGCTGGCTAGTCTGTGGTATTTTGTTACAGTGGTATTAACAAACTAATACAGTAATCATATTCCTAAATGTTCTATAAATTCTTTGTAATTAACTGTCATAGCTATGAATAAACACCAACTTACTGACATCCATTCTACATACAATATTCATTCTGTAGTTTTCTCAGATTTGATATATAATTCATGTTAATTAAGATATGGCTTCTCAACATGAATTAATGTAGAAACATATATTTTAAAAATAATTTTCCTTCACTATGTTAGAAATAGTGAAGCTCGTTCTTAGCTCCCACCCCACTGTAAAAAAAATGCTACTACAGTCACACTTTTGGAAGGATCAGGTCTAATTTTAATGTAGTCAAATAAAATTGTAAAGTATAATGTGCACATAGGTTTTTTCCCCTTTTGTTATGGAGTGGAATTTAAATTCTTTTAAAGTTTATTGTGAGTTTTTGAATAGCTAATATTTATGACATTATGGCAATTGAGTGTGATTAGACTCCTCTGTAAACATTCTGATGATATTTACCAGCTGGTAGATAACCCAGAGACTTCTTCATCAAGATTTTAACAGAATTCTCATATTTAATTTAGAATGGCTGCTATAAGTAATACCAGAACTTATGGATTTCTTAAACACGTCTGGAGAGAAGTTTGTCACATAGTTCTTCCTCTGATAAGTGATCAACTAAGTACAGATGGTCTCCAACTTTTGATGATTCAACTCATGAATGTTTACTGCAGTTTGAAACTAGCATACATTCAATAGAAACTATAAGTGTCCATACAACCATTTTGTTTTTTACTTTCAGTATAATGTTCAATAAATTATGTGAGATATTCAACCCTTGATAATTTTAGCTCTAGAGAGATAATATAGCTTTATGTTAGATTATTTTTCCCTGGTTAATGCAAGTGTTCTGAACATGTTTAAAGAAGACGAGGCTAATGTATAATGCTCAGTAGGTGTATTAAATGCATTTTTTCACTAATGCACCAGGTGTTTATAGGGATATAACCCCATCATAAGTTAAGGAGATGAAAATATGTAAAGCAGAGTAACATGTCCCAGAACTGAATTGCTTCATCTGAGATGATGTATAATGCTCCCTTTATCAGTGTTCATCTGTTATTTCCAAACTAACTTGCATCACAGTTTTAAAAGAACAAAATTTAGGGACCTGCATCTATATAGGTCGGGTCTTCTCCAGAAAAAAAAAAAAAAAAAATGTCACATTCCTATTTACTGCCTTCCTGTATCCTCGGATTTCATTTAATTTGGAGTAAACAAAATTAGTTATTAAGTAGGAAATATACTTAAAGTGAATATTTGTTAACAACTCAACACTTTTAATACTGTAGTATAAGTTCATTGCAACTTTGGCATTGTCTTTTACAGCCACACAACCTGTGATACCTTTTTCTGATGGGAGGACACAGGAAATGAAAGAGATGTAAAAAAAATGACAACATTTTCTTAGAATTACTCTTTCCTTATCCTTGGTATGAAGTTCCACATTGCTTTAAGAATGTTGTAGTAGATAAATCTTCCCAATGGAATTTGGAAGAAATCTGTTTGGACCTAGGAAACTGGCAAATGCATATGTAGGAAATTTCAAGCAGAAAGAACTTTAGCGAAATCTAGAATTGGAAATTGTTACATGGGTTTCAAATAACAGAATGGAAATGGGAGGAATTGATGGCATAATGGATAGCTCATTCATTAGGGGAGCCAAACATCTGTGCAATACAAAATCTGCGTATAATGTTGATTTCCCCAAAATCTAACTATTAATAGCCTGTTATTGACTAGAAGTTTACTAATAACATGGACAGTCAATTAATATATATTTTGTATGTAACATGTATTATTCACTGTGTTCTTATAATAAAGTAAACTAGGGGAAAGGAATGTTAAGAAAATCATAAGGAAAAGAAAATATGTTTACTCTTCATAAATGGAAATTGATCTTTATAAGGATCTTCATCCCTGTGGTCTTCACATTGAATAAGTTGAGGAGAAGGAGGATGAGTAGAGGTTGACCTTGTTGTCTCAGAGAATGCAAAGGAAAAAGAAAATGCCTGTGCATATGGTTATGCGCACAGTTCCAACTGATGTTGTTGAAGAGTCAACTGTGCACAAGCCCAAATTTTGAGCAAATAATTAGAGAAGAAGTTGAATTGTCACTTTAGTTAAAACCATAGGATATAAAAACAATTGACTGAAGGATGGGAATGAACTCAGCCAATCCCTGGTGTGGAGTCTTCAGTTATTTTCAGTGATATGGGCCAGAGGGCATAAGAAATTACAAGATATGAAATGGCAGTGTACACTAACCACTATGAGTAGAGAGAATATTCTAGAATATGTCGGGAAATTACAGTGATACTGTGGTGAATTCTGCCATTTCACTTAAATTGAGAATTGGAAAATGTCAATGAAGAAAACATGCTGTGGTTGTGTTGCCTAACCAGAATCCGTAATTGAGGTGGCCATTATGTAGGGATTGAAGATTCTGTCTCTATTATTCTCTAATTGGAGATCAGCCAAATTTATTCTTTACCCAATTTTAAGTGGGTATGCTAAATGTGAATTTGTGGAATGGCCCAGTCCCTCCTTGTAATAAATTTTAAACAATTGAGAAATCTGGAAAGGAAGCAAAAGATCACAGCTATGATACAGGTAATCATTAGAGCGGGAACTTTGATTCTCACTAACTTATTTTCTAATTTCTGCAGCTGGTCTGTATGCAATGCAGATAGTACATGCAGACTGGGAGTGGATGATTAATGATGAACATAGTTGGTTTTCTTAATATCTTCAACCATACTTAGCATGGTAAATAATGTACAATAAGGTTATCAACAGAGTTGATTGACATTTGTATTAAACCTAGTCATATTTTCTGTTTTATTTTTGAGTTCGGCTAAGAACAATTTCCCTTTATGTAGATTAGACTTCAGGACACATTACAGTTTTGCCAGAGATATTTGGATTTACTTTTATACTGTCACAATCTAGTGGGTCAAGACTCAGACTTGATAGATCTTAAGGATAAATGAGTAATGAGTGTAGTGCATAAACATCATAATTGCTTCCTTGGGAAAAAAAAAACTAGAAGATTTAGGGGCTTTAATTAATTACCCATAGGTCAAATAGGGGTTAGCTGATAAATAAAATAAATGAAATGAGTTTAAATATGAAAACATTTTAGAAAGTTAGAGTGATAATGATAAGGAAATAATAGAGTAAACTTGCTTTGGTGAGTTGGTTACATTTTTATGCCATTTTACAATGGCATAATATGAGATTCGATACTGGGGAAAATTTTTATTTTTATGATATTTAAACTCTTTATTAGCTTAAAAAATATCTTCAAAATATATTAAATAATATCTGTGTTAAAGTTAGGTCACTGCTCTTTATTATGATCAC